CTGCGGCGCCGCCCCCTGCTCCGTGGTGCCCAGTCCTATCAATAGCCCAAGGGCTGAGGAGTGCAGGCGCGAATCAGGACTGGCGGGGAGCTCCGCCTGCAGCCCCTGTGCAGGATGCACCAGGTGAAGCCAGCTGGCCTCCCGAGCCGGATGCGGACTTGGAGGACTTTTATACCTAGCCAGAGGATTGTATATGCACCAATCAGCACTCTGTATCTAGCTAATCTGGTGAGGACTTGGAGAACTTTTATGTCTAGCTGGAGGATCGTAAATACACCAATCAGCACTCTGTGTCTAGCTCAGGGTTTGTAAATACACCAATCAGTACTCTGTGTCTAGCTCAAGGTTTGTACATACACGTGAATTGGTACTCTAATGGGGTCTTGGAGAACTTTTCCGTCTAGCACTGTGTCTAGCTCAAAGATTGTAAACACACCAATCAGTGCGCTGTCAAAACGGACCAATCAGCTGTCTGTAAAATAGGCCAGTCAGCTCTCTGTAAAATGGACCAATCAGCAGGATGTGGGTGGGGTCAGATAAGGGAATAAAAGCAGGCTGCCGGAGCTGGTAGTGGGAAGTTGCCAGGGTTGTTCTACGGATGGCGGAAGCGTTGTCTTTCGCCGTTTGTAATAAATCTTGTTGCTGCTTGCTCTTTGGGTCCACGTTGCGTTTATGAGGTGATACACTCACTATGAAGATCTGTAGTTTCATTCGTGAAGCCAGCGCCACTGGGAAGAAGGCGCAAACTCCGGACACACCATTTTTAAGAACTGTAACACTGCGAGGATCCGCGGATTCGTTCTTGAAGTCAGTGAGACCAAGAACCCACCAATTCCGGAGACAGTAGTGTGATGAAAGCTCTTGTCCTGTGCAGTCCCATGCAGGATGGAATCATCCTTTTGTCCCTTTGTCAAGTGTGTCTGTGCTATAGGTGCTACCCACTTAGTGGCTGTCTTGGTTATGAGCTTGAGAAAACACCGTAGGTATAATGTTTGGCACTGTGGCACTATCTGAAGTGTCAGACATCTGTGGGGAGTCTTAGAGTGGATCCACATGGTTAAAGGCTGCCGCTGTAATTGGAATCATCCGTGTGTAGCGTTTTCAGATTGGCTTCTTTCACTTAGTAATAAAGAGTTTAAATTTTTATGGTTCATTTATTTCTAGTGCTTAATATTTCATTGTATGGTTGTCCATTTATTTTCTAAGATTTATTTTTAAGAATGTGTTTCATCAGTCGGGCACAGTGACTCATGCCTGTAATCCCAGCACTTTGAGAGGCGGAGGTGGGTGGATCACCTGAGGTCAGGCATTCAAAACCAGCCTGGCCATCATGGTGAAACCCCGTGTCTACTAAAAATACAAAAATTAGCCGGGCATAGTGGTAGGCGCCGGTGGTCCCAGCTACTCGGGAGTTTGAGACGGGAGAATGGCTTGAACCAGGGAGGCAGAGGTTGCAGTGAGCAGAGATGGCACCACTGCACTCCAGCCTGGGTGACAGAGCGAGACCCCGTCTCAAATAAAAAATAAATAATAAAAAGTAAAAAATGTGTTTCTTCTTCGCCTCTGTCTGATGACCGTGGGCTTCATAAGATGACGCGTGACTATTCAAAACACTCTCTGGAGTCTCACTGTACTGGTCTGCAGCAATCTCCATTCTTGCCTTCTCAGAACGAATTTGACTGTGGGGCAGAAGCTGCAGGAGAGACCAAGAGCGGGAGAGAAAGTTTATTAAAAACCTTAGGAAAGTACATTTGGAAGAGGGCCAAGCGGCCAACTTGGGAGATCAAGTGCGAGGTTTGACCTCTTGACTTGAGGTTTTACACATTGGCGAGCTTCCAGGGTCTTGCGTTACTTCTCCCGATTCCTCCCTTGGGGTGGGCTATCCGCTTGCACAGTGGCTGCCAGCGCTTGGGAAGGGAGCATGCGCAGTGTGTTTACTGGAATTGTGCGCATGCTCACTTGAGGTGTTCTTCCCTTGTCTGTCTAGCGTTCCTAGAGGAAGATCATACTCCAGTTAGACGCCGCCATTTTGCCTCTCAGTGCGCATGCTTGAGCCCGTTCGCCCGGCGCCTGAGATCTTACCCGGAAGCTGCTGGTCACCAGCTCCGTTTCTATGTAGTGGGAGGCTGCCTTTCCCTGGCACCGGCTGTGATCAATTATTATTTTAGAGAGGCAGTTCACAACCACTTGACCATCAATGATGGTCGTCTGACATTCCCAGTGTGTGTCGAAGGAAGCCCTCTCCTGGCCTGCTCATGTCAGACCAGCTACCTGCTCTAACATTCTGGCTTCTCCTCCGGGGTCAGGGAGCCATACCCCTAACTTACTAGTGCTTCTGGGTCAGGAAAACGTTTGTGTACTTCCCAGTACCGAGTTTATAGCTGCACTGAAAGCCAGCCTCCGATTTCCCTCTGGGTGTGCGTCAGTACTTTTATCCCCTCGTTCCGTAAAACCTTTTTCTTCTTTCTCTCTAGTGTCAAGAGGTTATAGAGACCTCCCTGAACACCGCAAATCTTCTGGCAAACGACGTGGATTTCCATTCCTTCCCATTCGTTGCCTTTGGTAAAGGAATCATCAAGAAATGTCGCACGAGCCCAGACGCCTTTGTGCAACTGGCCCTCCAGCTGGCGCACTACAAGGTAAGAACCGAACGCCTAGGGTTTTCTCGTGAGCACTTTGGGGTTTCCTACACCTGCCCAAGACTGTTCACCTAGTGGGGAGGGAAGGCCCGAAACCCGGCATAGGAGAAGCACAGCCCCCACCCCCGGTCTCCGGGGACCGGGTGTGGGGTGTTTCACCACGCATGCAGGCGAAGCTCGCAAATCCCCCTCCAGCAGGCGTAGATTCCCAGCTGACACGGGAGAGGGAGAGTCTGGGGGATGGGTGCAAAGTGAGATCTCATCACTCTACAGAGGGAGAGTTAAGCCCCAAAATAAGCCCTGAAACCTAGCATTTGCTAAAGTGGAAATAGTGTGGGCAGGTAGGGGAATAGTCAGTTGTATTCGTTTGGCACTCGGTAAATCTGCACTTTACACAGGTCAGGTGATCACAGAGTGGACATGTTCTACCTTTCATCTGTCGCTGTCTGCTTGGGAACAAAATAAAAAAGAGCTTCTTGCATGACTCAGCTTTCGGCTTAATCCTTTCCTTTTGGCAGAGTAAATCTTCCTGTCATGATACTAAATTAAATTATGGTATTTTCATACAGTGGAATATCATATAGCTATTAAGTGATGTCTGTGGGCAAATTACTTAACATCTCTGGCCTTTGACATCCCCTTCCATAAAAGGAGAAACTCCAGCCACTTGGAGGTGCCATGGGCTGGATCCTCCGTATACATGTGGCATTTCCATCTATTTTTTCTGAGCACTGGCCATATTTTGATTTGCACCTGGCGACTCCTGTTGGAGGAGCAGCCGGCATCCCTAGCAGGGATGTAAATGGGTTGTCTTGTCCATTGGAGGGAGCATTCCATCCCAGAGAGGGAGCCCCTGGTTTCTGGGAGCAACAGAAGTCATCGTGGCATTGGCTTGAGATATTCCCAACCTTTTTTTTATTTGAGATAGAATCTCACTCTTGTTGCCCAGGCTGGAGTGCAATGGTGTGATCTCGGCTCACTGCAACCTCCACCTCCTGGGTTCAAGCGATTCTCCTGCCTCAGCCTCCCGAGCAGCTGGGATTACAGGTGTGTGCCACCATGCCCAGCTAATATTTTGTATTTTTAGTAGAGATGGATTTCACCATGTTGGCCAGCTGTTCTCGAGCTCCTGGCCTCAGATGATCTGTCTGCCTTGGCCTCCCAAAGTGCTGGGATTATAGGCATGAGCCACCGTGCCCGGTCTTGTTTTAAAACTTGAGTGCTGTACACATATGCAGCGTGTGGCACTGCCCCCCCCAACCTTGGTAATGATTGTGCCATTGTTGAGTTTTGCTTGGTGCATCACGTACATCATGCTTCACTCTCTCTCCACCTGGGAAGCACTCTTGTTATCCCATTTTTAAAAATTTACAAGTCTCCATTATGCCCCAGAAACTCTTGTTATCCCATTTTACAGGTGAGGAAACAGGTGCGGAGAGGCCAGGTGCTTGGCCAGGGTAGCACTAGGCAGGGATAAAGCCGGCTGGCGGCTCCAGAGTCTGTGCCCTCTCCACCGAAAGTTAAGAAAGCAACAGTTACAGAGAAGTAATAGGCAGTGTTAATATCGGATGAACTGGAATGAATGGGCCACAATCATATTTACAATGTATGCTAATACAGTTCTGCAACGACTGTCACAGTTATGAAGCTTTGCTTTCCCAAGTAACATGCTCGCTAGACGTGAACCAAAAGCAGCTGGGCAGAGCACTGGAGTGCAGTGACAAGCTCCTGTCTGTGACAGATCATTGACTACAGATCATGTGATGAAAAGGTGGCCTGGAATAGAGGCATCGCATCTCAGAATCAGTGAGCTGGATTTTGAGAACTGATGAGCGGATTTTGCCCATACATGTGCAGTGTGAGGGCGTGCAAGCAGTTGATACCTCACATACCGAAAGGATGGTATTTTATCTTTTCAAATTTTTTTCTTTTTTAAAAGAAGTCCCTGCAAGTAAGTGCAGGACCCAGAGAGGAGTTTAGTAAGGGAAGGCCATGCTGCATTTTAGTACATTTTAAAACTTGATGAAATGACTCTTCTGCAAGCAGTACAAATTAGTGATGCTGACTCAAGGTAGAAAGCCTGAAAAGGTCTGTGGTCCGTGGACCAAAGTGAGAGGTTGTCAGGCAGCCACCTCGTGGCTCCAAAGAGCTTGCGGCTCAAAGACTCCACAAAGAAAGGAAGCCACCCCATCTGCTCCCCAGAACCCACGTGGCCCAGGTGTGGGAATGAGGTGCAAGAAGCACCAGCCACTGTGCCAAGTACTTTGCAGGAGCGAGCGAAACATCAGGACAGCCCTGAGGAAGGCATCTCTTCATCTCTGCCTTCCACACTCAGAGGTGAAGCCTCTTGCCTGAGGGCTGCAGCTCCTACGCAGCAGGACTGAGATCAGAACCAGGCAGGTTCGTTCCAGAACCTGTAGCTTTCACCACTGTGCTACAGCTAAACACAGAAAAAGGAAACACAGACCAGCTTCCCTCATGAATGGCAGTGCAGAGACCCTCAATAAAATCTTCGCAAGTAGAATCCAGCACGTAGGAAAAGAAGAGTCACCGACAGTGGCGTCCACCAGCAGTGAGAGGCTGGTTTTGTGTCAGTACATCCAGTCATACACTAAGCCATACTGGTGGGTCAGAGAAGAACCTAGATAGTGAGTTTCACAGATCCTAAGAAGACATTTCACATTTAACATCCATTCCTGATAACAGCTCTTGGTCAAGGGGCTTAGTAACAGGGCTCTTTCCCTAACAGGATAAATGGCATCGTGTGTTAATAGCTAGCTACTGCGTCAAGGTAAAAGTGTGGGAGGCAGTGCCGTTAAAACAAGAAAGATGAGGATGCCTCCAGCAGCTGACAGGGTAATCGGGCAGGAGGAACATTGGTGTCTGCTCAGGAGATGGAACAGCAGAAAGGCTTTGATGATTAAGAGGTACACTCAGTGAGCCGGCCCAGCACAGAGGTGCACGAAGACCACCAGCTTTCTTGCGTAAGGATGATGGCCAACTGGGAAATACAATAAAAGAATGTAATAGAAAGGAGAATCTGGGGCCCCACCCTCCAGGCATACGTGTATAAAGCAGACTGGACTCTGGGAAGAAGGCCAAGGAGCACCCACCCCCCAACTCTTCCCCAGGGAGAGGGAGAAAAAGCCATGATTTTGGATTAAAAAAACTTAAGAACCATAGAGGGAGGGATGTTCCCAGTTCACACTTTTTTTTTTTTTGAGACGGAGCCTTACTCTGTTGCCCAGGCTGGAATACAGCGGCATGATCTCGGCTCACTGCAGCCTCTGCCTTCTGGGTTCAAGTGATTCTCCTGCCTCAGCCCTTCGAGTAGCTGGAACTACAGGTGCCTGCCACCACACCCGGCTAATTTTTGTATCTTTAGTAGAGACGGAGTTTCACCATGCTGGCCAGGCTGGTCTCGAACTCCTGACCTCAAGTGATCTGCCTGCCTCAGCCTCCAAAAGTGCTGGGGTTACAAGCATGAGCCACCATGCCTGGCCCAGTTCACACGTTTAATATGAACGCAGTAAAAGGTTAGGCAGGAGCTTCAGGAGAGGAGTTTGCCCAGTTGATCTTGAAGCTTGAAAAGCCTAACATTTGAGAGTCATCCTAACATTTTTGAAAAGAAAATCAATCAGGCAGAGGTGGGACAGGGACAGGGGGAGGTAGACATGTACTTTTTCAAATCCTAAAACTCAAAAGTGTGGGAGTTAGAAGATTGTAGCGATTAAAGTGGTCTCACTCCTATAATCCCAGCACTATGGGAGGCTGAGGCAGGTGGATCACTTGAGCCTGGGAGTTTGAGACCAGACTGGGCAATATGGCGAGACTCTGTCCAAAAAATACGAAAAAAAATTAGCCCAGCATGGTGGTGCATGCCTGTAGGTCCAGGGTACTCGGGAGGCTAAGGTGAGAGGATCACTTGAGCCCCAGAGGTGGCGGCTGCAGTGAGTCCTGATCATGCCACTGCACTATAGCCTGGATGATAGTGAAACCCTATCTTTTAAAAAATGTTTTTAATAAAAATAAAATGCTGCAGTCCTTGTTCAAAGGCAGGCCCAGGAAATAACGTGTAATGAAGGGAGTATTTGACATCAGTGGGGGTTGGGGAGCTGGTGAGTAAATGGAGTTAGGAAATCTGGCTAAGTGGTTGCCGTTGGGGTTGGTAAAGGCTTTTTTTCATGTTGGTGAGGGTGGACTGAGGCAGGGATGTTCATAGCAGCAGCTGGGAATCGTTTTAATAAATATAGGGGCCCCATGGTAGGCCCAGGAGCAGCACAGACCACACAGCTGGAAACATGCATCAGGGAAGAATAACTTTGACCCTGCAGATGATCCATGAAAAAGGGCAGGTACACAAAAAAACACTTGTGAGCAAGCTTACTGTAAAAATGTGAGGAAATCTGGCCGGGCGCAGTGACTCATGCCTGTAAGCCCAACACTTTGGGAGGCCTAGGTGGGTGAATCACTTGAGGTTAGGAGTTCGAGACCAGCCTGAACAACATGGTAAAATCCCATCTCTGCTAAAAATACAAGATTAGCTGGATGTGGTGACGCACACCTGTAATCCCAGCTCCTTGAGAGGGTAAGGCGGGAGAATCACTTGAATCAGGGAGGTGGAGGTTGCAGTGAACTGCCTAGACCGCACCACTGCACTCCAACCTGAGCAATAAGAACAAAACTCCATCTAAAAAAAAAAAAAAGAAGAAGAAATCTTAAAAGTTAATACTGGTAGGCTGGGTACAATGGCTCATGCCTATAATCCCAGCACTTTGGGAGGCCAAGGCGGGCAGATCACGAGGTTAGAAGATGGAGACCATCCTGGCTAACACGGTGAAACCCTCTCTCTACTAAAAAAAACAAAAATTAGCCGGGCATAGTGGCGGGC